GGAAAGATAGTATATTATATCAGATATATTATATTTTCATATGAATATGAAATTATTCGACAAGTCTCAGCGAAAAAGAAATAACACGTAATACCTACTTGTATAAAGTTTCGTAAACTATGAATTATTATGATCCACCTATTACACGATAACTGTCATTTATGTTACGATCGATTTCGCCTTCGATATTTTCCGCGACATTTTTCGCAGTTCCTCCGGAATACGATGAAATACACCATTTGATCGGATGAATCGTATTGCAATAAAAAAAACAAAAATCTGTTCTAACATAAATCGTGCGATTTTTTTTTTAAATAAACAAGTTCATTCGAGATATATATATATATACACAACAACACACACACACACACACACACACACACACACACACACATATATCTCGAGAAAATGAACGAGTTCCGTAACGAGGAGTACGATCGATTGATTAAACCAATAATGATAACTGGAAAAATCATTTCTATATGGCCGTTGGCAGAGAATAGCAGTTGGATAGCGATTACGTTTAGAAGATTTCACCTGTTCTGTATGTTTTTCCTGGTAAGTGCCATCTTTGATCGTACAATTCGAAATATATATTTCGACGTATAAAATTCTCGAAAATTCTTATATTCTTATACACTACTTTGAGAAACTTTTGATTTTCGTGAACACTGTTCATATCCCCTCCCCCCCCCCTCCATCTTTTTCGATCAATTGTTTTTCTCGAACCATCCAATGAAATTTTTCAGGTGATCGTGATGTCTGTCGCGGTAACAGCCGACGTGATTCACAATATAGATGACCTGGACGAAGCGACCGAATGCGCGTTAATCTGTACAGCTTTTTACCTTTGCGTGGTCCGTTTGCTCGTCTACTCGTTCCACCAGAAGGACATGCTCTACGTGGTGAATACGATGAGACAGGATTGGATCTCATCCTCGGATCAGGACCGGCTCATTTTCGCCGAGAAAACCATGTTCGCCTTCCGCCTCGCGAAATATTTTATCACCACCGTCGCCATAACCATCGTGATGTTCATGTCCGTCCCAATTTTGGAGGTGCGAAAATTTTCGAAAAAAAAAAAAAGAAAAATAAACATTTGAAAATTTGAAAGAGCCCTTTAATTCGTCTTCTTCTTCTTCTTCTTCTTCTTCTTCTTCTTCTTCTCAGATCTACGTGATCGGTAACAGCGACAAAGTGCTCCCGTTTCGAGGATATTTCTTCATCAATCAAACCGTGTCACCGGTTTTCGAATTTCTCTATCTGTTCAACGTAACAGCGGGCGGATTTGGGGGAAGCATGATCGCGGGCGCTACCAGTTTCAACCTGGTGGTGATAATACACGGCTCGGGCAAATTTGCCGCGCTGAGGAAGAGGATGGAGGCTTTGAGCGGGGCCGATCCTAACTCCACCTCGATCATGGGGGATAACGTGATTCGTCACCAGCAAGCGATCAAGTTGGCGTCGATTAAAACGAATCGGAACCCTTTGCGCTCCAAACGATGACGACTTGGATCGATGCGGCAATTTGACGATATTTATTTGATTTCTTTTTTTTAAAATAAATAGCTTTATAAACAGTTCTCTAAACGTATAATTCTTACGAACAATATGCTGTATACTCGAACGAGTAGATTCTTTTATCTGAAACGTTGGTCCATCGAGTTCGGCGATAGAAAAATATGATATTTCAATGTTTTCGAGTTTTGTAATATGTGCGAAATGAAATTACTTGGAATTCGTTAAGAAATTGACGATAGAGAGAGAAGGGAAATGTAGAAATGTAGCACAATGAGGGAAGATGAAAAACAAGAATACCTGACAAATACCGGAGGATGCATCTTGGTAAAATATCGCACAAAACAATAACAATATAGACTTTAATACTCGACGAATTTGCTCTCTTTATACGCAGAGATACACAAGATATTGAAATAATTAATTTCCGGGTGAAATCATTTTAAGCTAGCTAAGAAATTCACCAAGAACGAAGTGCGGGGAAATCGTGTGGAGTTGTTGATTCGACCTGGAGCGCGAAGGGTCACGATCGTTTTTTCCACGAACGAAATCAAATCTGTTCACAGGTTCGCGGACACTTTGGAAAGGATCATAAACGTACTCGCTTTGGGACAATTCGTCATAAGTACAGGATTGATTTGCTTCGCGGGATTTCAGATCACCTCGGTGCGTTCTCTCGCTCGACCGATGTTGAGTCGTTGTCTGATAAGAAAAAAAAAAAAAAGAAAAAAATAACACTTGCAGATGATGGAGGACAAGGGCCGGCTGATGAAATATTCCACCTTCCTCAACTCCGCCATTCTCGAGCTGTTCATGTTCAGCTTCAGTGGGAACGGGCTGATCGACGAGGTGTCAACAATCGAGTTTCACTTAAATCGAATTATACTTTCGATTCTTTACACGAAAATAATGTTGCTCAATTTGTATGGTTTAGAGCGAAGGGATAGGCGAGTCGGCATACAACAGTGGATGGATCGGCAGCCGTTTCCATCAAAGCGTCCAGATCATGATGATGCGCTCCAAGATTCCCAGCAAGATAACAGCGGCAAAATTCTACAGCATGTCCTTGGAGAGTTTCTCAGCGGTGAGCGAACAAGACTTTCATTCTCGAGATCGGCGGTTTATAATAATAATCGTGTTATTCGCGTATTATTCGGGAATAAGAAATGTGAACGTTTTCTCAAAAGATCGTTTATGCGTTTTCCAGGTTCTAAGCACATCGTTCTCGTACTTCACGGTGCTCACAGCCACGAAAAGCGACTAGTAAACGTCGCGGCAGCAGACGAACGGTTTCCACACGTTTCCTAACGAATCGGTTAGACGGCGATGACTCAACCTGCAACGGAGGATATGTGTACTTCAGTTAGATCCACTAGCCTAAAAATATCGTGTAAAACAAAATGTCGTATGTGAACGTTGTAGTCCTACTAGCTTGTTGCTTGGGATCGATAGATTTGTTTTTTTTTTTTAGAAGACTGCTGCTTCTCTGCACAGAAAGAAAAGCAGATTTCTAAAAAAATCGACTCGAGAAATTTTTTTACAATACACGGTAGAAATCGACGATCGACGATAATTTAACCCTCTGCACTCGTATTTATATTTAAGAAGAATTTAACGATCAACTCGGAATTTTTTTATTTTCATATTCGATCGAAATGAAAGCATTTTTCTGGGAATATATTATAAATTAACTTGCCGTTTTAATAAAAAGAATTTGAAAAATATAAATTTTATCCGATTTTATCTTTATAATATATATATAATACTAAGGTAAATATATGTATTTACAATAATAAAATGTAGAATAGCGACATACGAGTGCAAAGGGTTCAATATCGATTATTTTTATTTCCTAATAGATATCAATATCCCTCCTTCAACGAGGAATTCCAAGATTCTCTCTCCTTCTTTTTTTTACGAGATTAGAAGAAATAGTAGCACGTGTAATACGCGCCACACACACACACACACACACAGGCACATTGAACGAAGTAAACTAACGCTCGTAATATTACACCAGATATTTACAGAAGCGTGTTTACCAAACATTAAGCTTATTACCAGAGTATCTATATCACGTATATGACGTGCCACGTTCACCGCGTTACACATTGGTTCCTCGATTATTCCAAGAAGTAAACGCAAACGAAACATCATATTCATAGAACGAAGATTTCTTCGAACGATTTACACAACAAACAATTAACGAAGAGAGAGAGAGAGAAGAATTGGAATCGAAACGGCGTGGCTGGAGGAGTTGCGTGTGGCCAAAATGTTGCGTATTTACCAGTTCTCTCTGGGTGGGGTGAAAGCATCGTACGGTCTTGGAAGCGACTCGAGGATATTTTCATCGCAACAGTACAACACGTGCGCCCGGCCAGTGAGCGTACCGCTCGCTTCCTTCGTGTTTATCGATACGGTTTTTCAATACGCCGCAATATGTGCAACGCGTAACACACGTGGATCGTCTTTCTCCATTCCTATTATTCCCGATATCGAGGGATATACGAGCCATGACGACGGAGGCCAGCTGATTATCGTCGTCCACGCGATGGCAACATGGCGAACATCAAGGTGGCAGTCCGTGTAAGACCGATTTCCTCCAGGTGAGTATCGATGAACAGATCGATGATCGAGCGTATATTTCAAATATATTTCGCGAGTGATTTTAATTCAACGAATCCTGCGCGCGGAGAGAATTCGAAGAGAATTCGAGTCGTTATCGAGTAATTATTATCTTCGAGATTATTCGAGTAGAAGAAAATGTCATAACGCAAATTCCCAGTCATTCGTCCGTTTCCGTACAATCGAATTTCACGCAAAAGTACGGAAACAAGCGTGTTAGACAATTAGGATCGTGTAGAATTAAAGAAAGAAAAAAAATATCAAGTATTTACAATTTCACGACCCGCTACTTTCGCCACCGGCAACCTCGCTTTCTGTCCGCCTCTGTGGCCGCCGCTCGATGTATTTTAAGAAACAAGCAAAAACCGAGGAGGAAGCCACGTCCTCCTTCCCCCGACATGCACACGATGCTTCTCTCTGGAAGCTAAGGTCAAGGTTTATGGCGTTGGTCTCGTTGTTTCGCCGCAATTTCAATTTTCCTCGCACAGGCATTTCGAGCTTTTACGAGAATTCCGTTTTCGACGAAACGTAGGTGGTTCGAAAACAGCGAGGACGAGGGAAACTATTCCCTTCACGGGAATAGTTAATTATTTCGCGTCGGTTGTAAGGGGACGCGCGCTGGGACAGGGAAATCTGGGGAGGAGGATTTATTAAGGCGCGCCTTTGAACTCGCTACTTATGAACTCGTTTCTATACTTAGAAGATGGGGCCGAAGACGAGAGCGGGATGAAATGACAATCGGTGTCTCGAGCTCGTAATAAACTCGTGATAATCGGCGACGAAATATCCCATCGAATCGTGGGATTATTGTAAAAAAAAAAAAAAAAAAAATTTGTAGGAAAAGGTTTTATTACACGTTGAGAGCAAGTGAATTATTCTCGTGTTCGATGGAGAAGTGAAAAGTGTTATACGTTTTAATGGGAAAAGGGGGTCGAGAGCAATGGTAAGATGAATTAATTGATCGGTGACATTACATTGACGAGGAAACGAAAGTTCGTTGTTGAATAAGTAAATTATCAATCCTTGCGTTCAATGTGGAAATGTGTTATAATTTCGGGAATAATGGAAAGTGAGAAAACTATTATTCGATTTGACGATGACTTTGAGAGGAAGTCTCGTCTCTTCATTCAGCGAAGAGGATAATAAAATTATCCACTCGCGACGTAAGGGCCCCGACGCGAGAAAGAAATAGAACGAGCAGTTTATTTAAAGCAACGAATTTCCAAGAGGAGCCATACCCGATCCAGGGGATGTTTTTGCGATAAAGGAAGGATCGACCGATACGAGGAGCAGCACGACACGTTGATGATACACGGTTAGACAGTTTAACGACTTGAAACAGAAATATCTGATGAAAGAGAGAGAGAAGGATCGTCTCTTCTAGAATAACACTTGTGCGTGACTGGTCTGCATAGCTGCGCGGCGCCTCGCGGAGGACGAAGAGGATAACAAGAAGAGAATCTATTCGCGTATACTCGATTCATTCAACATCTTCCCTTCGAGGATCCCTTGCTTTCGAGACGTTACAAGTCTTATCAGTGAAAATTCAATAATTTTTTTTGTTCAAAGCATAATAATACGGTCAAAGAGCGAATCAATTATAATTAGAATAAATGTTATTCAAGCATTTGTTCGAAATTTTTAACTACTCACTTTTTCAGGTCTACTTCGAGGTCTCCATTGATTGATGACTTTTCGCGACTTCACTTTTGTATTTCATTCGAAAGCTGTTCGAACGAGAGACGAAGAGAGTTCGGTAGTTGGATCTCTGTTCTCACGAATTTCCTGGAAATTGATCGATACAAATGTGAAGAAGAAGTACGACGATAGATCGATAATAGAGGTTTGAAATATACATATCGACGATAGGAGATTCGATTCTTCTTTTCTCGCGTTGTTAAAAAAGAAATCGTATAATTTGGATACTTGCGCCAGATAGCATCATCATAACGGCGTGTTCCTCCCTCTCGAAATAATCGTGGAGGAAAAGAGACGATGCTCCGTGAATGGAGCATTATTTTCATCGATATTTCGTCACTTTTCAAGTTTTTACGTAAGAGTGAAATTTTGTTGAGAATTCTCGTTCTCGAAAATATTTTTTCGCGTTGAAGGATAGTCAACGAAAAATAAATAATTCTTTAGAATAATTTTCGATCGTTTCAAATCGATACTTATTAAAGAGGCAAATACAAAAATAGTTAACAATTACATAAAAACATGGATACGAGGCACAAAATCGTGCAATGATTGCACTGATAGAATCACGCGAGGATAGAATTTTTTAAAATACTTTTAACTTTTGCTTTGTTTTCTCTCGCATGCAAAAAAGTGTACGCGTGTGCGCGTGTGTAATTGTCGTTTTTATAATAAAACTTAAAGCGATGGATGGATCCTAAATTAGATTAATAACCGATAATACGAAAGAGTAAATCGCATTTTATTTTCCATTAAAAATTAAATGTGATATATTCGTTCAACGTTCTCCAATTCTTTTTCGAGAATATTACAATTCCTTTTGTAATATTCAAATAACACACAACTTTCGTGTAAAGCAAGGAAAAAAAGAAAATTAAATACTTTATTAAGAACAATTTTAAAACAATACAAACTTCAATATTATCGGAAATCGTATATAAAAATTGTCGATAAAAATTTTCTTTCAACGCCATTTTCTTCGTCATATCGAACTAGGATCTTCTGATGATCGGACCAGAAGAGAAAATTGGACACGAGCAATTGGAAATTCGAAGGTTAAAAGACCTTGTTCAAGTTCCGCTCGATTATCGATTTTCCTTTTCTCAAGATGGAATTAAATCCAGAGAGGATTAACCATTCCATTTTGTTATCATTAAAGATAACAAAAAAACCGTCATGGTTATTAACGATGATCGATAATCACCTTAAGAAAATACGGGGAGGATTGGATGGATGAAAAAAAGGAGAAAAAAAAAAAATTGTCAAAATGGACAATGGAATTTTTTGACACGTTCTCGTATAAAAAAAGCGATGCATGCATATAGGTACACGCATCGATGACTCGATTCCAATCCAGGGAACGTGGGGGAAATAAAAATAAAAAAAAAAAAAAGTTTCTGCGAAACGAGCGGGAGAAAGAATCTTTTTGCCGTGTCTCTGTCCGATAAAAAAGACGAAAAAAAACGAATTTTTCGCTTCGTAAACAAGCCTATGGGTTCGTCCGGTTTTGTTGTTTTTCCCTTTTCCTTTTCCTGTCGAACGTAATACATTTTTTTTTCCCTCCCCTCCTTTCTTTTCTCTCTTTTCTTTTTTCTTCTTTTTTTTTTTCTCGTCATACAGAGAGTCGAATTTAACGGGGCCAGAGGTGGTCGTCCACACAGAATCGAACGAGATCTCGCTAACGAACTTGAAAGTATCTTCGAGCAAGGCCGGAGACAGTCGAGAGAGGGTTCGAAAATATGGTTTCGATTATTGCTTCGACTCGTCGAATCCAGTGGCGCAGAATTTCGCGGACCAGGCAAGCATTTACCAAACACTTGGCCAGACGGTTCTGGACAACGTTTTCACCGGCTATAATTCCTGCCTGGTGGCGTACGGGCAAAGCGCATCCGGGAAAACTTACACCATGATGGGGACCAAGGTAACGATATAATCTCTTTCTATTATTTCATCTTTCCATTAAATTATCTAAATTTTTTATTAGATAACTTTATGCATTTGTCACTTCTTAATACCTCGATTTATAGATCGATGACATGATCCCTCCCCCCTCTCTCATCGATCAAAATATCGAAGAAGCATCGAGGGAAAAAAGATAAATTCACTTTTCTTCACAATTATTATTATTAGTATTATTTCTAAAAATTTTTGCTTTTGCATCCTATACTTTCTTCTGAAGAAAAAAAATCTTTCCAACTCGATATATCCTTCGATTATCTGATCTATATCGATATCGAATAATTTTCCAATTTGAAACTTTAATTTTCGCTTTTTACCCGTCGATAAGTCAGCGAGCGATCAAACGTCGCGCGCATAATTCGAAACGAGAGAAGGGAGGGGTTAACGATTTCAGTGGCCTAAAAACTATATTGGCGGGAAACGGAGCCAATATTTTTTTTTTTTTTCCCCTTGGCTCCTCGACGAATTTCGACCGATAAATTGGAACTGTTTTTGCGACGTTTAATTAAATTGTCCGCCGGCTTTCGTGGCCGATCGTTACAAAGGTCGGGGAACGGGCGTATGGAGGATTTTTTTAAAAAGCGAGGCACGTGTTGCGGTTGATACGTTGAGCACGTTCGATTTCAATTATGGGAAATGGAGTCGTTCGATCGCCGCGGGACATTCCGACGACATTCAGCTATTTAACGATACGTAATTCTCCCGTGCTAGTACGCTCTTTTGAGGGACGAACGATTGAAGATGGCGTTGCTGTTGTTTTCCAGGAGGATCCCGGGCTCACGCCTCGCCTTTGCGAGGGACTTTTCGCGAGGATCGAGGAGGAGAGGAAAAACGAGAGAAATTATGGGGTTTCTGTCAGGTAAGGATAGAAAAAGTAAAAGCGAACGATTATCGAAATCAACAACAATTCCGTTTTATACGAAGCATGGTACGTAGAAGCAGAATGGATCGATAAACATGCAATTTTTTTTTTACTAAATTTTAATTGTCCTCCTAATTGTTCCAATTGTAAAAAAAAATATTTTCTAAAGCGCGAAAAAATAATGGAAATTCTTAAATTGAAGAATTTCTTTATAACGTATGTACAATGACTTTTGATATTGATCGTAAAGAAGAAGCTTAACAAGCTTGATACAGAAAATTATATCTTTATTGCTTGCTATTGTTTCAAACAAAAAAGTATATTTTAGGACATTTTAATTGAATTTGAATCGATCGCGTGCATGTATCGATGTGTTTCAAAATATTTCGGGGGATCGAATCGTAAGTCAGGGGATTTTCGAAACAAAGCGAGGCGTTAATCCGCGCATCGCCGAGATTGATAAGCGTGGGAACATTGCCATTCGCCTTTCCGCTGAGAAATACGCCAATAGGCGATCGAGAAATTGGCGGGTGTCGGTCAAGGTCCGCCTCGATTTTCATATAATTTCCCTCGAAACGATCCTCCACACCGATGTGGATCTCGAAAGATCGACGATCTGCTCCGCTCTTTCGTTCGCGTTCCCGCGCTGTTGCCGTCACGGTGCTTGCCATGTTCCGCCTATTAAAGGGAACGAGAAGTTTATCGTCCCTCTCGTTCACACACCTTTTTCTATCCCATAGTTTGCAGAAGCGATACGGTTAATCGAAAATGGTAATCGAGCACGCCGGAGGAGTAAGTAGTCTTTCTTTGATTTTAAACAACATTAGTCGAGGCGGGGCTTTAGCGGGGAATCGTTTTCTTCGAAACACCGTTGCAACGGATAAGTTCCAGCTCTTGGGAAACTCTTAATAGAATCTGTTCCGGAGGTAATAGCTTCCACCTTGTGCAATTGATTCCCCCTTAGCCTTCCCCTTTTCACCTTCTTGTTGTCAAATCGTGACCTTGTTACGTAGATTTTTTTTTTTTTAATGCAAATTTATTTTTCATATTTTTTTTTGTCGGAATTTCGTTGTCCCTTCTTCTCTTCTTCTTCTTTTTTTTTTTTGATATTCGAATAATTTAAGCGATCGTTATTCCACAATGAAGGAAAATTTCTTTTCACCAAGGGAATTGAATTCAAGAGTCGCTCTTGAGATTATTTTTCATAAAGGGAAACTGTTCGACTTTCGTTGTCTTCTTGTAAAATAAATAAATAAAAGTAAGTATTCTCATCCACGCAACGATTAATTTAAAATATAACAATTTATAACTCACTTAACACATCTTCTGTTTTTAGAAATTAATTCTAACCCACTCGATGGTTATATATATATATATATATATATATATATTATTTTACTTTTAAAATACGAATCCTGTTGGTAGGTTTATCGTAAGGATGAAAGTTGGCCTGATTTGACAATTCGTTAATGATCGGGCACAGAAATAAGAGGCAGCCGAGAAAGGAAAATATCGTGTGGGAATGGAGCGGGGTGATGCCACGGGAAGGGGGTGGACGTGGAACTTCGAGGTTAGGAGTCGTGAGGTTTGCGAGCGCCGTGTTGGCCTGGATGTGTCTTGTAAGCTCAGTGCCCCGTGACTCGCAATCCTAGGCGGACGTGTAAGTTCTCGTTTCTATCCGGGTAAGAATTTTTCTCTCTTTCTCTCTCTCTCTCCTCCCCCCTTACAGAGCACTTCCTCTCTCACTCGTTCACCTTTCGTTCGCTTTTCAAATTTTTTCCATCGCCGATTTTATCCGATCTTTCCGCGATGGATCGAGGAGAAGAAGAATCGTAAGAAATTCAACGGTTGATGTATACTTCTTTTAATTGTATTTTGTCTTCTTCTTTTTTTTTTTGTTTCCTTAGTTTTAGGAGACGAACGGAGAGAAATTCAATTTTCAGGGTAAGAGTATTGTTTGTGATAATCTTCGTAGGACTGTTTCTTCATGTCCTTTCTTTTTAATACACAATTTTCTCCAGAAGTATCTTTTTCTTTTCAATTTGCTTTGCTTTACTTATCTGATGTTCATTCTCTTAGCTTTGAATTTCGCTAGAATATATATATATATATATATATATATATATTTTCTTTTAAAAATCGAATCCTGTTGGAGGTTTATCGTAAGGATGAAAGTTGGCCTGATTTGACAATTCGTTAATGATCGGGCACAGAAATAAGAGGCAGCCGAGAAAGGAAAATATCGTGTGGGAATGGAGCGGGGTGATGCCACGGGAAGGGGGTGGACGTGGAACTTCGAGGTTAGGAGTCGTGAGGTTTGCGAGCGCTGTGTTGGCCTGGATGTGTCTTGTAAGCTCAGTGCCCCGTGACTCGCAATCCTAGGCGGACGTGTAAGTTCTCGTTTCTATCCGGGTAAGAATTTTTCTCTCTTCTCTCTCTCTCTCCCCCCCTTACTTCCTCTCTCACTCGTTCACCTTTCGTTCGCTTTTCAAATTTTTTCCATCGCCGATTTTATCCGATCTTTCCGCGATGGATCGAGGAGAAGAAGAATCGTAAGAAATTCAACGGTTGATGTATACTTCTTTTAATTGTATTTTGTCTTCTTTTTTTTTTTTTTGTTTCCTTAGTTTTAGGAGACGAACGGAGAGAAATTCAATTTTCAGGGTAAGAGTATTGTTTGTGATAATCTTCGTAGGACTGTTTCTTCATGTCCTTTCTTTTTAATACACAATTTTCTCCAGAAGTATCTTTTTCTTTTCAATTTGCTTTGCTTTACTTATCTGATGTTCATTCTCTTAGCTTTGAATTTCGCTAGAATTTGCTTTAAAATCGTTCGTATGCGAAAATTTTAACCTCCCCCCAATCCCATCCCGGATCTTCGATTCACACCTCACCTCGTAAACACAGTTTTATTAAACGTTCACAAACTTTGATTGCCTTGAGCTCGATGTAAAAATAAAAATCTGAGAGCCGAGTTCCGCCGTGTTGGAGTAAAAAAAAAAAAAATTGTATTTACAATCCGTTCAAACATCGATTGTCCCTTCTTCCTCCTTTTTCTTTCATTTTCCTTTTCTTCCTCCTCCTCTTCCTTTTTCCTCTCTTCTCCCTCTTCTTCTTCCCTGTTCGAACGAGGAAGAGAGAAGAGTGGTTGGCTCCATGCAACTTTTATCGTCGCTTCGAAATTCGTACCGCGAATTGGATCGCGGTTCTTTTTTTTTTTTCTCCAAGCTCGTAAATCCGGCCCAGGATACACGGTTGCTTCGAATTCGACGACGTTTACGTAAATCACTCTCTTGTCACGTCTCTACGATTAAATCGTTGCGACTCTTTCTTCTTGTTTTTTTTTTTCGCACGAAATCATTGCTAATCGCGTATTCTTCTCGAGAATTCTGGATGGGGATGGGGAACGAGAAAAAAGGGAAATAAGGAAAGCATCGTTTTCCCTTTGCGTGCAATTCTTTTTTTTTTTTCCTTGCTCGCGCGAAAGAGGAATCGCGAGAAAGTTGGGTTGATGTATTGCCGGATAAGCGAATCGGTCAGGCTGAGCGGCGTTCCTCTTTTTAGGCAGGATCTCCCGTCATTTCACGACGTAAAATCGTTAAATGGGTCGACGAAGGGCTCCCTTTTGAAACCCGTGACAACATTTCGCGTCGGTTATTCGAGGTTATACGTCCATTTCTCTTTGTTCTAGATGTTCCAATATCGACGTCGTATCATCTTCCACGTGGAATCGATATTCTTTCTCGAAAGGTATGCCACGTCTTTCGTTGTGATAAAGCGACGTTTTAATATCAACGCCATCCACGAATTAAATATTCTTCAAAGGATGACTCATTGATGGACCATCCATCTGTTTTCTACGGGACGCGAGAAAAGAATCGTCGTCTTCAACGATACGTTACATTATTTATCGTTTAATGGTTCGTCAAGTTTTCTTTACCTCGAATCACACTCTCGTTGAAATTAAATAAATAATTCTCCAAATGCTTTTCACGCGACGCAAATTCAAAAGAATGAAAGAATCGTCGTCTTTAACGATTAACTCGTATCGTTTAAAAAGTTCGTCAAGTTTTCTTTACTTTAAATCATACTCTCGAATTAAATAAATTCTCCAAATGTTTTTCACGCGACGCAAATCCAAAAGAGAAGAGAATCGTCGTCTCGACACAATCATCACGCCATTTACTTTAAATGTCACTCTCACCATCCTCGAATTGAATAAATTCTCGAAAACACGATCCTCGACCAAATGCTGTTCATGCGACGCAAACCCAAAACGGAAGAGAATCGTCGTCTCAACGATCCTCGCCCTATTTATCGTTCAATAATTCGTCAAATTTAAACGAGCACACCTCGACACACACACCGCGTTCCAATCGAATTAACAAAATATTCTCCAAAAGATGGTCGACGGATACCGGTGGTTTTTTGCCGTGCGAACCGGAAGGGAAGAGGCCGACGTTCGCCGGAACTTCTCCAAAGAAACAACGTTTTTATCATGGCGGAGTGTCTTTACCGCTGTTCATCATCCGTGGCCGTGAATCATCCTTTGTTCCGTATTGACCGTTCGACGAAAAAAGGAAACGACAGATTTACGCACGATCCGAATCGCGATCTCCACCCGCCCCTCCCCCCTCACCCCTCTCCCCCTCCTCGCCCAATACTATAAATCCGCCCGTTTATACGATGAACCGGCAGTTATTAAAAGTGGAAATTCGTCTCGCGAAAATATGTCGGCGACGGGATGTTTCGATTTCGCGCGACAAAACTACCGCCGCCGTCGCATTTCTTTCCGAAAAAAGGAAAAAATGGAAAATGTACACAAATCCTCGTGGATTTAGAGATTTAGGGGACGGGGAGATATTTCGAAACGTCGCCACCACGTTCATCATTATTGTCGTCCGTCGTGTTTTAGAGGTCGGTGTCGGTTAATGGCACGGGCTTCTCCCCGACTGAAAAATATTTCGCGTCCACGCGTTTTAAATTAAAACGTGTCC